GGTTTTCTTCATTCTTCTTTGCTCTGGATGAGGAGAGACCCATCGTTGCATCTAGATGGCTGCTTGCAAGCTTTTAAGCCCAGTTGCTACTTGCCAAAGTAGGAAGTGGAGCAATTTTTTGTATAGTATGTTATGCCAATTGAGTTTGATGTTCCCTCATCAGCAAAATTTACTTGCATATAACATTAATTGTATTTCCACATTCTGTTGGAACACCTTTCTTTGGAATTGGCACAAATACCAATCTCTTCCAGTCAGTTGGCCAACCTGAGGGGCTCATCTTACAGCACTATTTCAGACAGTGTTTCAGAGATATTCCTAAAGTTTTCCAGTAATATATCAGATAGTGTTTCACTGCTATTTATAAAGTTCACTGGCCAAGCTTTTCAGAAGTGGATGGCCCCATCCTTCTTCCCAGTCTGTCTTAGTCTGGAAGTTCTGCTGAAATCTGTCCATGATGGGTGACCCTGTAGGTATTTGAAATACTGGTGGCATAGCCTCCAGCCTCATAGCAACACACAAGCCACCACAGTATAACAAACTGTCAGATGAGTGGTGGTTCTGGTATATACCAAAACAAACAAAAAACACCCCAAACTCACTGCCGTAGAGTCGGTTCCAACACATAGCGACCCCTCCTTGGGTTTCCAAGGCAGTAGCTCTATGGAAGTAGATTGCTCAGTCTTCTGAGGAGTGGCTGGTGAGTGTGAACCACCAGCCATTTGGTTAGTAGTCAAATGTCTTAGGCACTATGCTACCAGAGCTCCCTGTTCTGGCATATAGTAGCTATAAAATAATTGCTAGCTCTCTTCCTTAAAAAGGTTACTTACAATGTAAATTATCTTACATATTTGCTTTAAGTTAGTCTCAACCAATATATTTGGCTACTATTTAATAATTCAAGCCTTTGGGGGCAAATTTAACTGAAAAAAATGGCAACTGTGATTTCATTTTTCTATACCATCTTTGGAGCTCTGGTTGTGCAATGGTTAAGCCATTTGGCGGCTAACCAAAAGGTCAGCAGTTTGAACCCACCAGTCTACTCCATGGGAGAAAGATGAGGCAATCTGCTTCTTTGAAGATTTATAGCCTTGGAAACCCTATGAGACTGTTCTACTCAGACCTAAAGCATCACTATAAGTAAAAATCAACTTGATGGCAATGAGTGAGTGAGTATGCCATCCATGTCTATCATTTTGTCATTCTTGTTGAAGTCAAAGAAATACTTCATAATTATTTGCATTATGGGAAAAAAAGTGTTATGCCCAGTGGTCTCTTATTTCCTGTGGTATTTAAGTTTGTGTGTCAACTTGGCTGGGGCGGGTTGAGTGGCTGGGCAGCTGGATGTAGTATTTCCCATGATGAGAGGTAATCAACTCCATGGTGGAATCTACTGTGAGCTGCTGAGTAGCTGCCTTAGGGATGTGGTATGCTTCCTGTATATAAGTAGAAGCCTTGGGGAATGGTCTCTAGCTTATGGCACGCTTGGACCTTGCATGTAGCCGTGCTGTTCTTCAGCAGCCTGCCATACTCTGCTGACCTTGGGAATTATAATGGATTTGAATTAATAGCCTGCCATGTGGTTTGGTAACATCAGGGCTGTGCCTTTTTCTTTGTTGACCTTGGGCTTGTTAGCCTCAGCAGCCATTAGCTGCCTGAGTGAAGAGATGCCTCTAGCTTCAGCGGTCCGGGAGCAAGAGACAGAGCTGAAGACCAAGGTCAAGGGGCTTTCACACAGCCTTTAGAGCCTGGCACTTTGAACTCGGACTTAAAGCCTCCAAACTGTAAGAGAATAAATTCCTGTTTGTTAAGGCCATCCCATTCGTGGTATATTCCTTGTCAGAGCAGTACTAGGTAACCAGAACATTTCCCTTCATACTTTATATTATTCTGCTCTGTGGGTCTATGTTGCTGTTGTTGTTATTGCTCCCATGAAACTGGTCCCCTTCTGGTTAGAAGTGAAATGCCTTAGGCACTATGCCACAGAGCTCCCTTGAAAAATATACCTATAGTTAATTTCAAAGAGTCTTATCAGATAAATATTGTCTTTATTTGACCATGATGTTGACTAGTCAGAATACTGACACTATGGTGAATGGATATAGTGAATCAGTCTTGGTGTTCAGAAGCTCCACTGCCTGAATCCAACCCAGTCTGTCATAATCACCCCATGAAGAACAGGCAATGGAATTACCTGATGAGGAATTCAAAATATCTATCTATCTATCTATCTACCTCTCTCTCTCTCTTTCTCTTTCTCTCTCTCTCTCTCTCTGTGTGTGTGTGTCTATGTATCTATCATTTCCTTCTAAGAGCTTAAGGAAACCATAAGTAAAAGCAAGGAAAAGACAGACAATACCCTAGAAGAAGTCAGGGAAACAATATAAGAATAAAATTACCAAGTAAATAGACAATTAGAAACCATACAAAAACAGCAATTAGAAATCCAGAAGAATAACACTAAAATTATGGTGACAGATAACACAGAAGAAGGACAAAAGAGTGGAAATGAATTGACTGAAGAATGGATTAGCCAGCTGGAAGATAAATCCCTTGACATAATCACATATGATGCACTCTCTAGATTACTTGAGGAGTTGGGAACAGTTTTTTTTTTTTTTTTTTACAAAAAGAAAACCAAACCCACTGTCACTGAGTGGATTCCAACTCATAACAGCACTATAGGACAGAGTAGAACTGCCCTATATGGTTTTCAAGGGTGTACATTTTTATGGAAGCAAATTTCCTCATTTTTTTCCTAGAGTGGCTGGTGAGTTTGAACTGCTGATCTTTTGCTTAGAAGCTCAATGCTGTAACCATAGTGCCACTAGAACTCTTTCAAGAGCAGTTTGGTAAGTAGAATTTGGAGTGCAGAGGTGGAACTTTCAAGTTGCAAAACTAATATAAATTTGTCATCGTATCAGTCCCTTGACCTGTTTAAATAGTGACGTCCTAATGTGGGAACAAGATTGCTATATGGAGCTTCTGAGTTACTGATAAAAATATTTTAGCTTTCTTTTCCTTCAGATCTAAAATTACATAAACCTATTTTCAAAGTGAATTCTGCATAAGTTACTGAATTGAATACCTGAGCATCGAAGGGAGTGGGCTAGTTCTGTTGCCATAACTTGTATGATCAGACCAATTCGAAGTCGAAACATTTCAGCAAAGAGGCCAGGCTGAGTTCGCATATACATGGCTAGATATACCATTATTTCCTGTACACAGAATGGATATAGAGAAAAATTATGACACAGATGTAACAATGCTGATTTGGGGTCTTAGGTAATTGTCAGATCAATTGAAATCAAACTTTAAAATAAAGTCAATCACCAGATTAGACTTTGCAACTCTGCTTACTTGTGTAAGGATTGAAATGCTCATGTCCCCTTCACTGGCTTCATCTATCAGCTGTGTGAGCACTTCATACGGAAGAGGCCTGAGGAAAAAGATAGCGAAGAAAGACAAAATTCTGTCACTATTTAAACCTAAATGTACTGGGAGAAAAAAAAAGTTCTTCCTCAGTCCAAGTCACTACCTCAACAACTCATAAATATCAGTAGCATTCTGGCTCCTCTAGGGTTCAAAGTCCCCAAACTACTCTGTCCCAAATCAACTGAAGAGGGTTCTTACCTTTCTTCTCTAAACATGGATTATCCTTCTCCTTTAAAATTTTATTTAAAACTTACCCCATGATATCCTTTTAGACAAGTCTATCACGGTTGACCCTTAATATTTGACAGGTCACTAGTATAGCTACAAAGTGATACAGCAATTTTAATCTGTGCCTTTTGGAAACCATTTTACTACTTTACATTCACATCTCACAGTTACATAGGTAGTCCCTGACTTATGACATAATCAAGTTATGACAAACCTCACTTACAACCATCTGTTTTTTCTTTTTTGTTCATCTTATTGTTAGTAATATGCACTACATACAGTGTTGTAGTGTGTAATTTACTGATGCTATCATTTTCAGATGTTCACTAGCAGATGCTCAATTTTATGATTTACTGTTCAAAACACTGCAGTATAGATTTAGTTTTCTAAACTAAATGACAGGCTTCCGATGTTTGAAAACATGGACCCAAATTCTGATCCTTTTGCTAAAGTTGACAGGTAGATTTGGGAGCCAGTGAGAGGTTATTGTGAACTATATGAAGAAAAAAGAAAAAGACCATACAGACAACTCTCACTGATTTTCTGACTATAAATGCCATCCTTATTCCCAGATGATCCAGAATCTTCCACAAGGGGCAGTGTTGCTACAACTGACAAAATGTTAACATTGTCTAACTCTTCATCAAAGTAAATTTTTATGATTTTTTAAATTTTTAATGTGTGTTTTTATGTACTAAAATATATTTTTAATGTAACATTTCCAAACCCCAAAGACAAATAAAAATCAGATTTATACAGATACTGATAATAAAAGGCAACAATAGGGGAAAAAAAAGGAGGCATTCAACTTACATCCGAACCAAATTAAACTGGAGTCCTCAGAACAGAATCCCTTTGTAAGTCAGGACTACCTATATTGATTTTGCACACTTTCATCAGTTTGCGCACATATAAACACACACACACACACACACACGTGTGTATGCAAGTATCCTCCCACACTTTTGACTCTCCTATTGAGACTGGGAGCATGGACCATATCATCTTCTTTTGGACTGTAATAATAAAACTGGTCTGATTTATAACAAAAGCTTCTATTTACCAGAAACAAGGTTAGGACTATTTTTCTGAAAACACAATGAAAGGTCACAATTCCATGGCAGACACTTGGAACCTTTTTTTTCATGTCTTTCAGATCCTAGAGGCATGAGAAATTATGGGAATAATCCAGGAAGGAGATGGTGTGCAGATGTCAACAAAGGTATTCCTGCTCATTTCTCCCTTGTTTATTTCTAATTATGCTCCATATCTAGGACATGCTTTGTTTAGAAAATAAAATTTCCACTACAGTGATTATGTACATATAACTGGAAGGTATGGGGAAATATCTGTTGTTTTGTGCCATTGACTCTGATTCATAGTGACCCTATAGGACAGGGTAGAACTGCCCCCATAAGGAACTAGGCTGCAGTTTTTATGGGAGCAGAGCAGCTGGTGGGTTCAAATTGTCAGTATTATGGTTAGCAGCTAAATGTTTAACCATTGCACCACCAAGCTTTTATTTTCACTTTACTCCCTAGGAGAAAAACAGATTTTCCAGATTACTTATGAATGAAATTAGAACCCCTCTAAAAATATTTCTTGGAAATATAGCCTACTTGTAGATTTAAATTTTTGGCACTGACATGACATGAAATTAAGAATAGTATAGATGAGTTTTATTGGCATGACTAGTGGCAGAAGGAAGACTCATATGTGAGAATTAAACTTTTCATTCCAGACTGTTACTCACTACTCTCCACCCACTCTAGTCATAGCCTATATCCTAGGGTGCTGTTCCCAACTGGAAGCTGTGGCAGAACTGAGACAGTGGCAATCTGATTACAGTACTCTTGGAGGGGTGCTAATTCATTATGCTCTACAAGAATTCTTTCATTGTACCCCTTAACTATTGCTTCCACCCACTTTATTGCTACTTGTGCAGCACGGAGTTTCATCATCAGCTCTATGTTCCACTTGGATACTTTTCTCCACCTCTTCTTTCCAGAATATTTATGAATTTTTGTGGGTGCCAATATTAATTTTTCTGTTTGTCTTGTTTAGTTTTTTGAATGGGAGGTTTGGGAAAGTCAATAAGTAAAAAAAAAAAAAAATTGAGTTCTACTCTTTCTGGATTTTCTCTTTCATTTACTCATGCCCTGTCATTATCAACATTCTCATTATGAATGTCTCTGATAGAAGCATACACATGTAGGAAGTGATTATTCACTGACAGATTAGGCAAGATAATTGTGGCAAGCTCAATGAAACCCAATGAAAAAACACACTCACGCAGAGATGTTTTTTTCTCGAGGTTCTGGGGGGAGTCCCACTGTCAAATGTTTCTGGTGAGAGAGGAGATCTGTGCAAGCCTAAGTAGGGATAGAATAATATCATTATCTTTCCCATAACACCCCAATTTCTCCCAACTCTCAGCTTAGAAACTTTTGCTCCTCATCAACTTAATGGTATACCAAACTCTCTTCCAAGGAAATATCATGAAGATTATAAAAGAAAATTCTAGAAGGGACAATAAGATATTTCAATCTCCTAGGAAGTAGGAATTGTTAACCTAATGTAAATTCATTCTTAAGACATAGCAATCTTAGCAATTATACATGTCTACACGTCTACAATTTTTATGGTTCAGTAATGTGTAGTTGTCATCCATAAACAAAAAGCTAACTGAGTATCAGAAATTTTACATGGGAAAGAACATTCCAAACAATTAGAGGCTATGGTTGCCTTAAGGAAAACAATATGGAAACCAATATTTTAAAAGCTCCCACATTTAGATTGGTATACCCAGAACACTTAAAGAAGAATGTATAGTACCTCATCTAGGGCTTCCACCTTCTTCCTCAAGATCCCAGAGATATATCGGATTAGGCCCCAGTGTCGGATTTTGCCAACTTTGCCATATAGTTCAGTAAGAAGTTCTCTGACTGTAGCACTCCCTTCATCATATAATCCAGTATCCCAGTCAGGTCCTCTGGAATTTTACAGACAGGACTACATTAATTATAAAGCCTCCATCAACAATCTTTTATATCAATATTATAATGGGCTATAAGGATGATGGAGTTGTACAGATAATCCACACATTCAGTCTCTCTTCCAACTGACACTCTGAGTAACTAGGTAAAGCAGATACAAATAATGCTATTGGAGTTATGAGCAACTAAGGAGAAGAAACAGTACTAGATCCAGTGAAGGCAAAGAAAGAGAGCACGTTAAATGACAGATGGAGAGGAATCATTAGAAATACAAAAGAGGTCAATGAGGAGAGAAGGAAGAGAGAAAAAAAAATCACTGAACACACAGGTATTGGGGACTCAGAATAGCCACACCAGGAGTTTTTCCGAGATGTGCTGGGATTTTGAGGGGGAACAAAAATCTTACTAGGAAATGGATCAAGAGCCCCCTTGGCTTGGGCTGCTGTGGAGTCCCTAAAGGGAGTGTGAGAAAGGGAGAAGTGCCCTCTGATTAGGCAGAGCCCTGGAGTGGGTGCACGGCATTGGGCTCAGGTCCAACTCTTGATGTCCCTTTTTGGCTCAGATTGGATCTGTTTATGGGGATTTTGCAGCTTGTCAATCCAACCACAAAGGGGTAACCTTTTGTCCTTTGAGGCTACTCCCAGATTTGAACCACAGGACTCTGACTGACAGCTGGGCGTCATCATCAGTAGACAGCCTCAGAAGGACACAGGCTTCCCTGCTCATGTCTGCACCCCTGACTGAATTATCTCATTCCAAATGTGGAAAACTCCTTCTGCTTTTCTATCCTGGGGTTCACTTCTGGTATTTTTTCCCCTCTTTTTCCTTTTCTCCCCTGCCTCACCCAATAGGAGGAACATATTAAACTTCCACCAGGTAACCAAAGACTGGTAACACCAATAGCTCCTGTGATAGTTGGAGCTGTGTGTCAACTTGGCTGGACCCCAGTTCTGTGTGGTTGTTCCCATGATGGGATCAGATGACTGTGTTCTGAGTGGCCAGT